GGGTGTGTGTGTTTTCCTCTATCTTCTTCCACCTCTCCTCCACAAAATTTGTATGTTTACAAAATTTTGTATGTTTAAACAAAAATCTAATTTTACACTGAAATAAAAAGAAAGCATATAATTTGACAATTTATAATAGCAATTCCAAAATGCAGGCCTTCCCACTTTTCCTGCGTTAAACTGTGTTTCTTAAAGGTACCTTTAACTGAATCGTGTTGCTCATTACAGCCCTAAAGCTCCCTCATCCCTCATTAATTTTATTATTGTGTTACACACATTGCTAAAACAATCTGTGGGCAATAAGAAACTGTGAAGTAGTGTGGAAAGATTGGTTTATATTTATTGAGCCAATCCCATGGTGTTGGGATTTCTTGCTTGAATGATATATGATCTTTCTCTTGAGTCTCTCTGGGACCCTGGTAGACTGAGAGGTACATGGTGACTGGTGATGGATTTGTCACCTATCTTAATCTGATGCTTTGAAGAAAAATAAGAGCAATGGAAAAGATTTATACTTGCCAGTGGTGTGAGGTGGTGTTTGGCTTTCCTTTAGCTTATGTTGATCTGTGAAGACTGACTTTTAGGGCTGAGGTTAGAAAAGTTTATCTTCACTAAAAAAGGTTTATCAGCATGTACTCTATGCAAAGAGACAGCTGTACTGTCAGATTCCTCCTGGTTTAAATGCAACTTATGATAGTGGAAATGTATTTTTACAGGTGTAGTTTTGGATATGTAAGTTATACAAGCAGAACTGAGCTTAAACTGATACAACTGCATCTGGGCTTTTACTGATATGGAAATGTTTTAGAAAGCGAATCTCCATGCTTCAATTCTAATAGCAGTGCTGCTTGGGGCTGGGATTTCAGAGGAGACAGCTCTCTCTTTCCAAATGGTGATATTTCATTCCTAATTATTATATAATAGTAGTGAAAGACTTTTTTTTTCCTAGCCAGCTTGCGTAGTTTTACAACTTCTGAGAGGTGGGGAAGTTCAAAAGAGGAAATATTACACAGAAGACTGTGGTTTTAAATCTATTAGTATGAGAAACACTCATTTTTGGTTTCAAATGATGTCTGGCAGACTGTTAGTCTGTAATGTGGTTTTGGTGCCTTAAAGGTGGACTACCATTCTTCTTCCTTTGTTTTGGGCCATGCAGCAAGTCTTCTTGGAAGCAGCCCCTGCCTATTGTTTTAACAGTCATATTTTCCTTCCTGATGATCTGAGACCTGCTTTGAAATCGTGAAGACTCTAGATGTGACTTTTCTGTGTTAAAAGTGACAGAAAAACCTAAGTAAATGATGATGTTTCAGGGAGAAATAAGTTACTTGGGATGTGAATCACAGAAAATATTGGTCTTTTCTTTTCTTTTCTTTTCTTTTCTTTTCTTTTCTTTTCTTTTCTTTTCTTTTCTTTTCTTTTCTTTTCTTTTCTTTTCTTTTCTTTTCTTTTCTTTTCTTTTCTCGCTAGTGACATCAGTGTGAAAGTGAGAAATACCAGATCCTTAATTCTTGGGGATTTCTGAATTTGTGAAATGTACACTGGAAATGATCCTGAAGACAATAAGAGTTCTTGCAACCACACACATACTGTGGTAGCAAAAGTGGAAGGAAGCTTCTTTCTCACCAAAAGAGTTCCTCCAAAACTTGGTCATCATTAAAGTCCCTCAGGCAAGTTTTCAGTCATGTGGGGCTCTACTGCACGTGTGCTTCTGCTCCCTACTGGCAGGAAAGAGAGGTACCCAGGTATGCTCAGTGCATCCTGTAATACCCGCTACTCTCACAGGATCACAGGATCAGAGAATGGTAGAGGTTGGAAGGGACCTCTGGGGATCTTGTAGTCCAACCCTCCTACTCAAGCAGGGACACCTGGAACACGTGGCACAGGGTGGCATCCAGGCGGGTTTGGAAGATCTCCAAGGAAGGAGACTGCACAACCTCTATGACTGGCCTGTTACAATGCTGTGTCACACCCACAGTAAAGAAATTTGTCCTCATATGGAACATCTTTTTTTAAAAAAATTATACCCATTACCCCTTGTCCTGTCACTGACCACCACTGAGAAGAATTTGGCCCCATCCTCTTTACACTCTCCCCTCAGATATTTGTACATATTCTCTTGTTCTATTAATTTTCATTACTACAGTATTTTCAGGCCTCACATGTCAACAGAAACTCAGGTGTGCCAGGTTTGCTATGGAAGCGAAGAAAAAAGGCAATTCTTGTCTGAAGAGACTTGATTTAGCATATCTTTAAAACATGTAGTAGAGCTCCTGAGATTTTGAACTATGAGAATATGTAGGGGTGTTATAACCATATGAACATCTGTTACCTGCAGACTGTCTTCTGCCCACATTGTTGGCTGTTGAATAGTATGATGCCTGGGACCAAAGCATCCACAATGTTTTTAAGATCCTTTGAAATGCCTGCTGGTACATTGGATGATAGAATTCTTGGCGTTGGCCTGGCTGCTACATTAGTATGCTCTTAAAGAGAGCATGGTATGGGATGGAGCCAGGTGCAGGAAATGACTGAGTAGGATGAGACTCTTTGGAATGGAAAACAGGTAACTAAGAGGATATATAATAGAAGTCTCCAAAATCATGGCTGACAGAGAGAGAGTGGATAGGAGGTTCACCAACTTCACCCAGAGAAGAGCTAAAGGAAGTGTTCTTCATAAGATGGATAGAAAACCTTTGGAACTCCATGACAAAGGATGTTGCACATACAAAAAGTATTCATTATCTCACAACAAAGTTAAACTAATACATGGAAAAGAAACGTAGTGAAAGTTATGTGAACAGCACCAAGCTGTTTGCTTTGTAGGGCCACTGACTGTGTGTGCAATCCAGGGTGTGTATAGAACAGATGTAGCTCATGAAGTGTAGAATGGAGAGATTAAGTTTAAGTATCCTGAAAAAATAGACAAATATCCGTTTCTTCTCTCCATCTCCTCTCTGCTTGTTCACATGTTCTCTTTTGGAGAAACTCAACAGTTAGTTAAATGAGGCACAATATGCTGCTCCAGGGAGTTAACAGGAGAGTTTCAAGTTTCCTGTGTTGACTTTGTAGCTGTGGTGTGAAAATGCTATGGGCCTCCTTTTCTAGGCTCCTCCTCTTGGTTGATGCCACTGAGGCTGGATTGATTTCTGTGGAATTACATCAGACAAACAAACAAACAAAAGAAAACCAAAAGGCAACAGTGAATCACAGGTGGAAGATCTAATGGAGTTTTGTAATCAAGTCCTGTCCTTGGTTCACCTCCAACTCTGCCATTGGACTGCTGGAGGTTGAGTAAGAAGTGAGTGATATTCTGTGCTTCTCTGTCCTCATGTCCTCTGTGTGATGAGTAGATAATGATCTCAAAACACTTTTCCAGGGAGTCCAGCTGATGAACTCCTACTGTGTAGGAGAAATAATGTTATCCACCGCTCTTGTCAGAAGCCTGAATTCTCCCTTCTCTGAGCAGTTTCCTAAGCAGTAGATCCTCAAACTTTTAGTATGTGTTGCCATAGGACATTACAGTCTTATACAGCTCCAAATGCCCCCTCCTTAGCACCATCTAAAATCAAATTCTAGTTCTGTAGAAAACAAAACCAAAAAACTAACTTTTTTGGTTATTGACACCTGTGAATGTGACCAAAAGTCTGCATAAAATGTTAAGGTCTGATTTTATTTTGCAGACTGGTCTTACTCTGTTTTTCTACTGACTTTCAGAGCTAGTCCTGAAGAAAGTATAGAGAAGGAAGATGGTGCTTAAGAGCCCTAAGTGATAAGAACTCAAATTCTTGATTCTTAGGCACCACTTTCTGGCACCCATGCTGTGAAGGGAATTAATTCTTAGTAGAGATTGACAGAAGCTGAAAAGGTGAGTCAGGGCAGGACCCTCTAGCTTCCCTGTTTCTTATGCCATGTCCTGCAGCTGCTGACTGTGATCAGAGACAAGATACTGGGCTGAATGGACATCTGGACTGAATCCCTTTTCCTATATGGGAATATACTGTCTCTGCTATCTGAAGAAATATTGGAAGCGTTACTGGGGTTTGGAGTGCAGCAGCCTGGACTGGGTCCAGAAAAGAGTCCTAGTTCACAAGAGCACAGTGATGCTGCAGGCATGGGGGAGTTCACAAACTGGCTGCTTGCGCACTCCTCATTTTGTGGATGACTCTAGGCTAACAACATACCCAAGGCAGAGCTATACATAAGGCTTGGTAAGATGTGCTATCAACTGAGCAACACCCTAGCCAGTCTTGGGATTTTGTTCTTTGCATTTTGGCAAGAAACACTTGCCAACTGCCAAGGATGTAACTCTGAATTTCACACAGCACTTAGCCATCCCTCAGGGTGTTTCGTCAATGACAGTGGATCACACAACTCCCTTTCTCCTTCGGGTACTAGCTTCAGGTAGCTGGGCAGTCAGGTTTGTTAGGCAGTGAGGAGAGGCTACATCAGGGGGCACAGATGCAGATAGAGAGAGCCTGGGTTTTTCTCAGGCATCTGGTACCACAAGACCTCTTTGGCAGTGCAATGCAGAATATACAAAAGCATTCAGCTCTGCCCTAATGCTGACCCTACAGAGGCAGTAGGAATTTAACCACTGCTTTCAAAGGCCTTGTAGCTATGCCAGGATTGCCCACATACAAAAGTCCTACACACAAGGTCTGAATAAGAAAATAAACCACAGTGCAACAGTTTCCATAGGATATAACAAAAGGAAGTATAGATGGATTTGAGTGGATTTATGCAATTCCATACGATGGCCAAAGTACAGTGATTAAAAAAACATTTTTTTCTTTCCCTTTTTTACTAGGTACAGATATTGTAAGAGATTTCTTTTTTTATATGTATATATAAAAAATACATTCAGGATTCAGGGATAGTATTTCCAAAAAGCAGAACATAGGAAAAATAAATGGACTGGATACATCAAAATCAAAGCATTTAATAAAATAAAATATCATTTTTTTCCTCCCCAGAAAAGTGCTAAAAATACACAAATATATTTCTTCAGAAGGAGATAAAACTCTTTGTTCTGGTGGTGCATAATCATTTTTGAAACCAATTAAGCCACTTAGACAAACGTGTTTGGAGGATTTGAATGAATAGGCCAGGCAAGCTTTTTTTCCTTTGCTTCTCTGTCAAACGAATCATAGATCGAGTCTTTCGTTACAGTTTTAGCTGGTGCTGGAATTTCTGAGATGCCAATGTAATTTTTTTTGGCTATCCTTGAGCTGGTGGTGATGGTGTATGCATTGCTTCTGTAGCATTTCATGGAGGACATGCAAAATGTTTCTTTCATCCCTCTTCTGAAGTTTGCATTATACACTGAGTATAGGGTTGGCTTAGAGGCTGAAGAGCTAAAAGAGATCCAAGTAATAGCCATGAAAACCAAGGAACTCTTTCTATAGTCTTTTTCAGGTGGGTGCCATAGCTGTACCACATAAAAAGGGAGCCACGAAAGAAGAAACAACAAATTTAAGATTAGGAACATCTTGATGGTTTTCACTTTTGTCCTTGGAACAATATTCATTGTCCTCCTGACAGTCCTGCCATCAGTGCCTATTCTCCAAATGTACTTGATAACTTTCTGGTAGAATAGGATAATGAGAATAGATGGGATCAAAAACACCACAAGGAGGTGGATGATACTGTAGATGGCTCCCTCCCAGGAATTTGGGAGAAAGAAGTTGCAATGGTCATCCCAACTGGAGCCATAGAAAAAGAAAGCGGGCAATGCAAATGCAGCATCAAAGATCCAAGATGCTACAATCATTTTCTTGGCTTTCTCTCTTGACACTTTGAAGCTCAAGGGGTAGACAATAGTATAGAACCGATCCACACATATGGAGAGGAGCACATATATCTGGACTCCAGGGGTGAGGTATTGTATGTACCTTACCATCTTGCACATCCCATTCCCCAGCGTCCACTTGCCTGATGTAAACTGAAGCAGCACGAACGGCATGCTTGCCACAGTGACGAGAAGGTCTGCACAAGCCATGGAGACAACAAAATAGTTGGTGGTTGATTGTGTCCTCCTGCTTCTGTGGATCACCAAGCAAACAAGGGAGTTTCCAAAGATGGAGAACAGCCACAATATTCCAAAAATCATGCTGGCTGCTATGACTTCCCCTGGCCTCAGGTTATACTGTATGACAGTGTGGTTCCTGTTTGGTCTGGCTTCCTTGCCTGATTCTGTCATCTCGTGGCTAGCAGGAGGGATCGAGGTTTCAGGGTAACTGGTGTTCTGCAGCAGCACCAATGATGTAGGGAGAATAAAAGGAGCATTGTTATCCATACTGTGGACAAATATCACAGCCATGTTTTCTTCTTAGACTCTGCATAAAGAAAGAAGCCAAAAGGTTGCATCTAATAAGTATGTGTGAAAACCTACCATGATTAATGAAAGTTAATCTTATGTAAAATACACCAGCTTCAGAGAAATGGTCAAAACTATACTGTGAAATTGGCTGATATAGCCAAGGTCAATACATTTCACACAGATTTTTATGAATGTTCCAAATACTTTAGGACAAACATTCCTGTCTTCTGAAAGACAAATGTCCACCTCGCAGGTACTGAGGTGCCACCAATCCTTGTGATCTACAAACTAAATGAGAGGAGTATGCCCTGTTGATCCCAGGGATAAGTTATACTTCATAGGGTGGGAGGAATTATGAAAAAAATAAAACAGACAAACACTGTCTCTGTTCACTTTACTCTATGTAGATCTTTAAAGTAGTTTAGACAGGAGGTGTCTCTTATACTTAAAGGTGGAATGGGGAACAATATCTTTCACAATAATAATATCTCCAGTATTTCGGGGTACTAAAGGCACTAAAGGGGGTAAAGGTACTAAAGTTCATCAACCCATATAGTAACATTGATATTAATATACCTAAGTTTTTTAAAAAAGTGCATACAAAGCTGCTGTGAGGCTATGATTGCGTAAGAGGAAAATGCTGATAAGCATAAAAAATGCTGAATATTTGCAACTCATGTTCTGGTTACAAGCCATCCAAAGATGGCTTGTCTTTTTTTCACTAGCAGAGGCCCTACTGGTCTGACTAAATCAGAATGGTCCATTTGTTATTGTTGTTGGTAGTGGTTTTATTTTTCTTAAATTGCAGAATATGAATCCTTTTGCTTCAGGGCTTGTTTTTGGAAGAGAGATCTGGGTTTGAAGGTAAAGTGGGAGGACTTGTACCAAGCTGAGTCTCTTCTGAGCTCTTCCACATTGTGAAGATCCTTCTCCTTTCTGAGGTAGCTCAAGAGAGAAAGATTGCTATATCTACAAACCTGCCCTTCCTTTACTCCAAGGATAGCCAAGAAGTGCCATCAAGGACTGTGAGTGGGGGGAATAGCAAAAATCAGGATGTGCATCATTGGCTTAGTTCTCCTGGGTGATCCTGGAGGAGGTTTGGATGAGAGAGAAGGGGAAGTGTTCCTAGGGTGATTTGTGGCTGCTACGCTGGAGGCGAGTCGCCAGGGCTGAGTGAAATAGTCTAAAGATGACTGAGGTGCATTTTGAGCAAGTGAAATTGAGGATCTGGGATGTTAAGCGAGAGAATGGTTAGAGGAGAAATGCCTTCCCACTTAAGGTCCAGCACTGATGTCCTGGTTCTCTGGGAGTGACTTGATACCTACTGCCAGCTGCAGAATCAGGAGATGTCGTTTCAGCTGTGCCAAGGAGCACAGCATGTCATCTTCGGCAGCAGCTGGGCACCTTAACGACTCTGAAGAGTAATGCTGGCTACACATGTCCTGGTCTTGCTAGTTACCTGTTCTCTTTGTCAGCTTGAGAACTAGATGGCATGCCAAACCTCTGCTCAACTCCCAACAATAGATTTCTAAATTAACTACAAAGCCTTGACATAGAAGGAAAGCTCTGGGGGAGGAGGAAAATGTTTTCATATAGCTGAGCTACGAGGGAAGACTTTGATTTTTGTTTTGAGTTTCTGTGGTATAGACTATAGTGGTTGCGCTATCGTTCGATATGAACACAGTCTGCTGTTGAGGCTGTCTATGCTGTGGGGAAAACTAATAGGGAAAGCTGATATCCTTGCCTTGGTCAGAGACCTCCTGAGCAGGAAGTATGAATCTTTACAGCTTGAACTATAAGACTAAGGTGTCAGGCTAAGTTCCGTAACACTGGTTATTTGTGCTGTAGAGAAATGTTCATGATCTTCAAATGTGAAATTAAAATAATAATAAAAAGATTTTCGTTTAGTGGAGCTCAGAATAGTACTTTGCTCTTTGTTATCTGCTGTAATTCCAACTCAGAAAGAATGAGTAGAAGAGAATGCATTTGCCTCCCTTAAAATCCTACAAGTCTGTGACAAACCAGGCAACTAAACTGGTGCCATGAATAGCTGAAAGCAGCATATAAACACTTAAGCCATGCCTGTTTTGGACAGTCCATGAGTTTTTTGCAGGGAAGCTCTTGTTGGTCTCTGGTGGACCAAACGGTTTTGTCAGGTCTTGAGATGTGCCAAATTCTCTGAGCTGAGGACTCTGTAGCTGAAATGATCTGCTGGTTTACAGTCATCAGAATGTTCCCTAATGGTTCATTTTGCCATTTTTTTTAAATGTGAGTGCCCCAGCTTACAGTGTCTTTCTCTTTTTCCTTTCAAGTATGTGCCCTTCTTTTCCTGCTGGAACCTTGGAGTTCTCTTCACTTTCTTCCCCTTTGCAGAAACTGCCTTTTTGGAACAGCTTTTTAGAGCCTATGTTCATTAGCCAAGCTCAATGTAACACTGTATGTATGTGTCAAATACATGGGCTTAATATACAATCCACTACATCGAACAGACATAAATTTAGCATGCTTAAAAGTGTGAAGGGTGATGAGAGCAGCATGTCACATCAGCATAGCTACAGCCAGTCTGCGTAGGGGCAGAGAGCCTGCAGCAGGACCTGACTGTGCCTTTCTCCCCTGCAAAGCTCCGTGTCCACAGCGTGCCTGGCACTGAGAGCTGCCACGGGGAGGAGAAAGTGTTCATATTCATCATGTTCAAGCAATATTGGGAACGACAATACCTCAGGTTAAGTTGAACACTTAGGTGAAGCGGTCTGAGGTTAGTAACAACTGTTTTTGATGGAGCAGAGTGTATTGAAGAGGGAATACTGCATGGGGTTTTCCCATCAAAGTAATATCAGCAATGGCAGCCAGAAGTGTGTGTTGTGGTGGCTGGGTTGCCACCCACCTGCAAGAATGTGCAAGCAAGACACCACTGCTTGTCCCTTCTTGTGATGAAGGGATATGTGGGGTGGCTTTTTTCCCCCCTCATCATTGCTCAGCACTGATTTCCTTTGTCGTTTGCTTAGCAACTCCTTGGTAAATAATTTCTGATTTCTGAAACAAACCCTGCCTCTCTCTTCCCACTTTTTCTCGTGGCAGAAGCTGCTCAGATGGGCCTGCTCTCCTGGAGATACCCTGCCTTCATCAGCTCTGTCTACAGGGTTTTGGGGCTGTTTCCTCTGGCAGAGCGGCAGGATGCATTGACAGCGCAGCTCACTAAATTGTATGTTACAATTATCTGTAATAGGATAATACATGTGGATCCTATTAATTGGATAGAAATGAATATTATAGGCTAATTTTCTTTCTTAATTTCTCTTCTTGCCATGCAGAAATATGTGCTACTTAAAAATAACCAGCTGCTCACTGCACAAATTCAACTTGGTACCAGAGTAACCAGAAGAAATTCTTGACTGTTATTGAGGAGTAGTGGAAGTCAGGCACAATAATGAAATTACTTCCTTAAGCCTTTAAAATATGCAAGCTTCTTAACACTGTTCTCAAACTGTTGTCCATTTCTGCTCAGACATGAGAAATTTGGTAACACATTCACAATGCAGGGGGATAAACCAAAAATGTGCTGGGTTTTAGCACTCAAATAGTACTTCTTACTGTTGCTTTTTAAGCTAGGTGACTATACAGGAAGGAGAATGGCAAGAAACATATCCAGTTATCTAGTACTTGAGCTTAGTTATCAAAGGGAATTAAACCTGAATGGGAGGACCCTTGTCATGTTTCATCCTTCAGTAGGGACTGATTTGTTGTTTTGAGCACTAGAATATTTGGTTACATGTCTCCCTGTTGTAGCAGTTTCTTGTTCAGACCCAACAGAAAATGCAGGTAACATTATGTCCTGTAATCCTTTCTTCCTGCAAAAATCCACAGTCACGCAACACACCGTCCACTAGGTCTGAATTAAAGTGCAACTGCAAAACTAGGGCCTTCAACTGCCCTGAGCATAGG